TTTTGATAGGGTAGAATGGTATTTTCTTGCTGCTATTCTTAGAAAAATGGGGTTCAACCGATTTTTTATCAACTGGATTATGACATGTGTTAGCTCCACTTCTTACTCATTCTTAGTGGAGGGTTCTCCTACTGGTTTCCTTAAACCCTTTAGGGGGATTCGACAAGGAGGCCCTTTATCTCCTTATCTTTTTTTTAATTCTTTCAGAAGCCCTCTCTAATTTAGTCAACAGTGCCAACTTTGAGACAAGCTCTCTTGGGTTCAAAATCTGTAGGCCTGCTCCCCAAGTCACCCATCTGGTTTTTGCTGACGACGCTATCATTTTTTGTAAAGCCCATCCTGGTCATGCTCTAGTTCTCAAATCCATCTTGGAATCTTATTGTATTAATTCCGGCCAGCTTGTCAATTTTGACAAATCTTCTTGTTTTTTCAGTAGCAATGTTTCCAATAATATTAAAGATAATATTTGTAGGATTTTGGGTGGGATTAATATTTTGCGGAGTTCTAGATACCTAGGTCTTCCTATGATTATAGGTAGATCTAAAAAAGATGTTTTTGGTTACGTTTGTAAAGTTGTTGAAAACAGGATTTTGAACTGCAAAAATAGCCTTCTTAGCCCAGCTGGAATGGAGATTTTGATGCACTCGGTCATTAATGCTCTCCCGGTCTGATATAGCCCTATTATCATAACCCGATTCAAATACTAATTACTCAACTGGGCATAGACTGCTGACGACGTCATTAAGTCGACATCCCAGAAGTCGACTTGATCCATTGGCCATTTGAAGATCGCCATTAATCCGACAACGACCTCAAGACGAGTTAATCAAGTCGACTTGTTATAAGTCGACTTCCTCCATAATGAACATATGAGGGTAGCAGAACGCCATCAATACACGTACGACATTGGGTCGACTCGACGGAATCCAAAGCCGACTTATGAGACCTCCGACGACTTGATACACTTGGACGCAATACGGAAAATCTCCAAATGAGACCGAGTTCATAAAGGATAAGAAAGAATCTCCATGCTGACTCAGGGCCTCGCGGAATACGAACCAACGGGGGTATTTTGGACACTTCGCGTAAGTCGACCAGGGCATTTTAGGTACTTCGAATAAGTGTCTGCACTCCTATATAAAGGAGCTGAGGTAACCCCAAACCCTAACTTTCATTCTCTCCATTCATCATTCAGCTGCTGCTCCTACTGAGCAGAGCTCATCTTCTTCTCTCTCACTGACTTGAGCGTCGGAGGCTCTTCACCGGAAAACACTTTTGGTGTTGAGTTCTTGTAGGTGTTCACGGCGGCTCACAGACGACTTGGAGACGATTCAAACAGACTGGAGCTCATTTCCACCGGTTCACTCCAGATCTAGGAGGAGACCCATCACGGTCTATATTATGTCTTGTTTTTTGATTACTAAAGGTATTCTCAAGCAAATTGGCAGCATATCTTCAAATTTCTGGTGGGGATGCAATGCCGGAGGAAGGAACAAAATTCATTGGACAAGGTGGGATTTAATGTCTCTCTCTAAA